AAATGGGGTGTTCTTCACACCTTTGGCATTCCTCATTCTCCTGCAGATCAAGCCATTATAGAGAGAACATATCATACTTTAAAATCCCTTTTGGATAAACAAAAAAGAGGGGAGGCAGAGGCCATTCCTCAAATGCGTTTGAACAAAACTTTATATGTTTTGAATTTCCTAAACAATTCCTTTGCAGAGCCCGCTCCGCCAATCATTAGACACTTTTCCAATAGCACTCAGGCAAAGTTAAAAGAAAAGATTGAGGGTCCATTATGATTAATAACTTTGGGCAAAGGGTATGCTTGTGTGTCTACAGGTTCGGGGCCGAAGTGGCTTCCAGCAAAGAACGTGAAACCTTATCGGCTGCAGAAACAAGTGGGCAACTCTAAGAGTAGAGAAGTGAGCACACAAACGTGAACTGCATCAAGACTGCAGTTAACAGAGATCCGCCTTTATTCCACATGCAAAAGCAGTGAACTTTGGGTTTCGTAGAAACGTGTTTTTCATAGAAAAAATTGTGTCAAAATTCAGAATCTTGCACAAGAGATAAAGCTGTTAAATATGAAACAAGGGACTACCCTTGTGTCTTACTATTTTACTGATTGCTTTAAGTGATGCGATGTTTCCCGTAAGCCAACCAAAAGAAAATGTTTGTGTGACCCTAGCCAATGCATCAGGCCTAGACACCATCTGCTTGACTCACTCAAGTCCAGAAAAGCCATTCTCGACTTGTCAGTAGGTGAATGGCCAATTCCAAAAAACATTCCTTTAAAACTTTCACAGTCCATTCTAAACCCTGCTGACAGGTGGAGTTTCTGGACCAAATATCTTCCTGAGGCACGTTATGAACTGCAAGAATTAGATATCCTTGGTTCAATGAGAATGGAATTTTGTATAATATTCAATTTTTCTATATCAAAACAATGCAAAAGTAAAATGACAGACATCACTCCAAATCATGCTCTGTACAAGGAGGCGACATCTTGGTATAACTTTACATCAGTTTTAGTTACACCACCTAATCATATTCCATTGCAATTACCAAAAGGGGATTTCCTCATTTGTGGAGATAGAGTTTGGCCTGCCATTACATCAAACGTTAGTGGAGGTCCAAGCAGTATTGGAAGACTCTCTTTGTTGACACCCAATATAAAAATGATAAAGGAGCAAAATCACAGAGAGAAGAGGTTTCTTGATCAATATATATCCAATTGTAACGATGAGTTTTATTTATGGAATTTTGGATGAAGATTTGCAGCAGCTCTCCTTTCACCTCAAGTAGCTTCAGCAGAAGCCTTTAAGCAATTGGATAGATTAGGCTGCTGTTGTAGTGCATCTAAAAATCTTGGTATCTCCCAAGGGTAAAGCTCACCTCTGGTTTGTGTAATGTTAGTTCCTACCTGAGAACCTTCTTTCCCTTCCCCCTTCCCATTGGCTGTGACCTCCCTGCATCCCCTAATCACCCCTGCCCCCTGGTATAAGAGATAAGACCCAGAGCATTTCGCTCTCTCTCTTGCCCCGGATGGACGACAGACAATAAACCCGGGATTATTCCAGCAAGTTTGAGCCTCCTGTGTCTAGATACTTTGAGTCCGTGTTGTATCCACTCCAGGACCCCCTCCGCTGCCTGTGCCCTGAGAGGAGCAGGGCTCTCACCACGGGGGTGGGACAGAGGGGTCCCATGGGGAGAAGGATAGCAACAGGCTGCTGGTTAAGTAAGCGATCTCGTTCTCTATCTCTTGCTTTGAGTGAATTGTTAACTGATGTTCATAGCGTGAGACGCGCTACTCTGCAAAACAGAGCAGCAGTTGATTTTCTTTTGCTAGCGCAAGGACATGGGTGTGAAGAATTTGAAGGAATGTCCTGCATGAATCTCTCAGATCATTCAGAGTCAATTCATAAAAGCATTCAACAATTGAAAGAGGGAATAGCTAAACTTAAAGCTGAGGAAGTGTCATGGTTAAATGGTTTATTTAGATGGTTAAATTCTACACCATTGCAAAAAAAGCTTGCAAGAATAGGTATATTTATATTGATTGTTATTGTAATTCTGCTGTTTGTGCCTTGTTTACTTCAATTTATTCAGCAAATGATAACAAAAGCTGCTAAAGAAGTGCTCTTAGTTCAAAGAGAAGGGGGAGATGTTTGGGTCAGAGATGCAAGATATATACCTTTATTTGTAATGCCTAACTCTGACACCCAAGAAAGCACTGAGTTTCACATAGCACCATGGAGACAACGGTTAGAGTTCAGTAGAAAAGACTGAAAATGTGTGTGAATTAGAAAGTTTCTTGAGTCACTGGGTGAATGGGTTGAAGTTTAGAGTTTAAGGTAGTTTAGAGAGCAAAAGACAAGATGGAGGATTTAGGGTGTTGTGTCTTGTCCTTCTTCTTTCTTCTTCATGTTCTTCTCCTAGGGTCTTTTGGGTAGTAGTAAGTGATTGGGTAAAAAATGCCGCAGTGCAGCACACAGGTGTTGGGTCATTGGGCCACTAAGAAAAATAATTAAGTTGGCATCTGTTAATGGACATATAAAAGACCTTGAAGAGGATCTTTGTTAGCCATTTTATGCCTTTTCTATCTTAGTGCACATAGCTCCTTGTACCTTGTAATGCTGATAAGAAAAAAAAAAACAACTGAGACCGAACAAGAGAAAACTACCTCCCTCTTGTCAATCTTCAGTTCAAAAGGAAAAAGAACCTAATCCAAAAGTCCCTAACGAGACATTGTTGTAACCTGTGATGGTTTTAATAGCTTCATTGTCAATGACTTCTTCCCATGTTCCCCTCTAGCTCCCCCAGAGTTTGTATGCCCCTGAATTGTATCCTCCTCTATGCTGTCCATCATTGTAAACCTGCCCTTTGTGTCAGCACCTTCCCTAACTGTTGATATATTTTATATATTAGTAAAGGCCTGTATGCACAAACCAGCCTTTGAAATAAGTCATGATATTAAGGGCTAAAATCCTTGAAACTTACCTGCAGAAGACAGAGTAAAGCAAAACAATATCCTTGTGTGTAGGGGAAAATATGTAAACTTGTGTGTACTAGCCAATAGTAACTTGCTCTCCCCACAGGCCCTGTAGAACCCTATAAAAGATGTGCTAGAGATAGAAATAAACAGCGTTCACAATTACTTCTGTGAAGACTGGTGAAAAGCTCAGGGGTCCTTCAACACCTAACTATCGTTGTAAACCTGTCCCTTGTTCTGGACCCTTCCCTGTCAATCCCCAGTTGAGCCAATCCCTGATTGTACCTCCGTTTTGGAAATCCCCTGTTCCTTGAGGCCCCGCCACACTGGCCCATGTGACCTGTCCTATCCTTCCCCTTATCCCCATTGGTTCCTGAATTGTAATTCCTGCCTCTCATTCCTCCCCCTTGGGCTACCCATTGGTTGATTGTTTGTACCCACCACCCTGAAACCTCTTGGTACAAAAACCCATGCACAGAGGTGCTATGGGCTCTTTCATCCTTAGACCCTTCCAAAAGGGGGCCCTTCCATCCCTCGTCCTTAAATAAATCCCCATTGGGAATCTCATATCTAGAGTCTTCCTCTTCCCCATTCCCTCTACCCTGATACTGAGCAAGTGGCTGCACTTGGCTCTAAAGGTTTGGCTTTGAGGATGATCATCATCCTAGGTTATTCCCCTCTCTTGGTACGCTGCTGGAGTGAACAGATCCACAAACACCAGAGGTTTATGTCCAAAAAGGAGACAGAGGAGTCCTTTTACTTTATTTGAATAAAGGGAGAGGCCATGGGGCATTCCCCTGGGGTCTCTCAAATTTTTGGAGGGCACAGCCTCTTTTTTATCCTAATTTCCTGGCCGCATGTCCCCTTCTCTCTTTCCCCATAGACTGAGGTGCTTGACGGACTTCCTGGAATGTCTAATACCTAAGATTTCTCCCTAATGTGTAACTCCTCTCTTAACTCTTGTGGAATGATTGGTGTTTCATTAGTGTCCCTTTCATCTTTCAGCAGAACCTATCCCATTGTTTCTGTTATCTCTCAGTGATAATTTCATCTTATTAGCAGACCCACAGCTTTTTTGTGAAGACAAACCTGTCATTCCTCTCAAGATAAAGAGAGTATAATAGGGAAAGCAAAAGCCACATACAAAAGCAAAGCAAAACAAGGAATTAAGTCACAACTTCCCATGGGCAGGGAGTTTTCAGTGGTCTCTAGCAGTGCAGGATCCCATCACGGATAATGGTTACTTGGGAAGACAAACACCATCGCTCCAAATGTTCCCCCTATTTATATACTGAGCATAATGGCCTGAAGTATCTTTTTGGCCAGCTTGAGTCACCTATCCTGGCTGTCTCCTCCCAACCTCCTGTGCACCCCCAACTTCCCTGCCAATGTAGCAGCTTGAGAAGGAAAAAAGCCCTTGGCTCTCTACAGCACTGCTCAGCAATAACAGAAATATCTCTATCATCACTGTTGAGAGGAATAACAGCTTTGTCTTCACAAACAAGCTGTGGATCTGCTGATAAGATGAAACTATCACTGAGAGATAACAGAAACAATGAGATGAATTTCATTGAAGGATGAAAGAGGTACTGAGGAAGCACCACGAATTCCACAAAAGTTAAGAATTAAGAAGGGATTATGCATTTGGGGGGGGTGTCTCAAGTATTAGGAGTTCTGGGAAGTCTGTACCTGTCAAGTACCTCAGCCTATGGGGAAAGAGAGAAGGGACAAGTGGCCAGGAAATTAGGGTAAAAAGGAAGCTGTGCCCTCCAAAAATTTGAGAGACCCCAGGGGAATGCCCCATGGCCTCTCCCTTTATTCAAATAAAGTAAAAGGACTTCTCTGTCTCCTTTTTGGACATAAACCTTTGGTATTTATGGATTAATTTTCCTGACACTGTGTTCAGCACAAACCATAACAAAGCCTTGTACTACCTACTGTGAAGATTAACTGTACCCCAGCTGAAAACAACATAATGGCAAATGAGGAAGTTCTCTATCTTCTGAAGATTAAGAAGCTAGTGCCTAGACACCAGCAGGGTTCCCCAGGACTCAGTTTTATTGACAGTGCTCTTTAATGTTCTTAAAAATTATCTGGTTGCAGGAAGTAAGTCCAATTATACTAAACCAGGGGGAGCTGTTGACCCCCTTGATGGTAGAGGAGCCCGACATAGATCTGGACACAGTTGATCAATGACTAATCATCTAAAATCTAGCTAGTGCCAGATTGTTCACCCAGGACAGGGCAATTGTGGTCGCACAGAGAAATTGGGGGATGAGAGGCTGGATTGCAGCCCCATAAACAGCAATATAAGTTTCTGGGTTAATAGCTAGTTGAATAGAAGTCAAGAGTGTGCCAAAAGTGACAGCCAAAGGGGCTGACTATGTTGTGGAGTCAGGCACAGCACTGCTGGCCAGTCGAAGGAGGTGACTGTCCCATTCTACACTGCGCTGTGGGGTTGCACACCCCACGTCAAGTCCTATGTCCAGTTTAGGCACCTTAATTTAAGAAGGACATCAGACTGCTAAGAGTGTGTCAGGAGTAGGGAGGCCAAGACGATGAAAAGTATCGGGGTCACTTGGCTTGTTCATCTTGGGGAAGGTGCAGGGGGAGCCTGAGGCTGAGGACACCTTCCTCATCGGGGGCACCGGTCGGGGACGTGCTGATCTCCCCTGGTGACCTGCGGTAGGACAGGAGGAGACGGAATGAAGCTCTGCCAAGGGAAATTCAGGAAATTTCGGGTGAGGAAAAGGCTCACCCGCTGAGAGGTGGTCGGTCCCTGGAAGAGGATTCAGAAGAAGGTAATTTGTCATGGCACCAAGCCTGGCAGAGCTCGAGGAGGGTCTGCACAACACGCCCGGACAGGTGTTTTAGTTTAAAGTGGTGCTGTGCGAAAGATGAGCTGCGACCCCGTGACGCAGCTGCGTTCCTTCGCTGGGACGGAAGCTCGGCTGTCGCCGCCCGGCCACTTCCTGCTGGCGCCTGTTGTGGATCCGGGGCACGCATAGCATGGAGCCGGCGGTCGAAGGAGGTGGGCGACAGGGACGCCGCGGCTGAGGCGGACCCTGTTCACCCGCGGCTCTCGCTCACCCCCGTGGTTTCTTCTCCCCTCTCGTTGCAGACGCAGAGATGCTGGGGCCGCCCGACCCGGAACTGGCAGCCACCATGGGCTTCTCCGGCTTCGGTGCGTGGCGATGCGGCCGGGGGTGCGGGAACTGGCTGGCGGAGCGAGGGGTGAAGCCGTGGGGCCTGTCAGCCCCAGGTGGGCTCGTGTTCCAGTCTCCGTTTGCTTCTTTTCCAGGGAAGAAAGCTCGGACTTTCGACCTCGAAGCTATGTTTGAGCAAACGAGAAGAACTGCAGTAGAGAGGAGCAGGAAAGTCTTGGGTAAGACGTGCGAGCTTAGTCGGCTCTTGCATTTTAAAACATGTTTTGATTTCCTTCCTCATGGAGATACTTAAAATATTTCGGACTGGCGGTGTAGTGAAAAAAACAGAAATGCAATTTTTTTCGAGGAGGAGGGCAGTCCTGAACAGCTTGGGCCTCGAAGAACTGTTATTAATTTGCTGATGTTGTCTGAGGGTGTTAGAGCAGTGTGCATGTGCAGAGCTCCTGTTGTGAGGAGTAACTTGCATCTGCAAGGAAAAACACACAAACTCTTTTCTTTCTTCATTTACTTAGCTGTGTATTTCTTGTGGAAGAGAAATTGGTACAGACAGCTTTAATCTAGAGACAGCAGAGTAGCAAAGAAAATACGTGTGTCTCAGACCAAGGAGCAGGTTGTATAGCAGTCCACAAATGTGTCGCTGCCTGCTGCTGTGCTGGGAGGGGGCACTTTTTGAGGGCGCTGTTTCGAGAGTGGGAGATGGAGAAAATGGTATCATTTGCTGCCTGTCATCAAGTGAACATCAGTTCAAACAAGGTCTCTGAGAACAGTCATTCATGTTCTACAAATCCCTTTGCCAACCAGTTGTACATGCTTTCTCTTTCCCCTTGGCCAGTTTGTGGAGAATGCATGCCTTTTGTTTTATTGTGAGGCTATTTTTTGTATTGCTCTGATTCTATACAGAACAGATCAGACCTCTTTGGAAGGCTCATTGACTTTTTGGACTTTAAGCCACTATGAAAGTCAAATATACAACAAATTGCAAAATTCATTTCAGGGTTTTGTTTTTTGTTTTTTTTTTGTTTTGTTTTGTTTTGTTTTTTTTTGGGTGTGTGTTGGCTGAATTTAAACACAGAAATGTATGTCCATTATGTCCATGTTGGAAACTTTTTTATGCTTGTTCAGGTTGAGCTGTCTTTCCTTACGAGGAATTGTTTATTTACATAGTATTTTGGTTTAGTAGGGAAATTCGGTAAGTGACTGCAAAAATGCATTGTTTTTAAGTCAAGATATCTTGGCCTGCATCTTGAGTATGTCCCCTCCTTGCCTCGCAGCAGACCACACAATGTTTCTTACTTAATGTGAGATATGAGCTTTTGTTTGCTTTGATTTAACTGTAGCATTCCATAAGGATTCTTTTTCAGTTACAGAAGTAAAAATGAACTAATAATGTAAGCAACACTTTGTGTTTATTGTCCATGTTTAAAATCCACCTATTTACACATCTATATACTTCAAGTGCACTAATTTATTTCCCTTTGATATGAAAACATCAACATTTCTCTAAAGTGATCATAATGTTTTAGTATAATGTTGGAAACAACTGAAGTATCAGCACCCTTATATAATTAACTTATATTTGATAACATGTATGAATGAACAACTGGGAGGTATTTATGTTATCCTTTTGATGTTTGTTGAATGATCATTGCAGTAGCAATGAAAACTTAATATATATGAAAAAGTATTTTCAGTTAAATCCTTCATTTGCTGTTATCTTTTCAAGTATTTAATTTCGGTCTGAAAATGAAAAAAAACTGTCTTACTGTCCTCAGCAAGGCAGTAATTTTAGTATTTTTAAAAGGCTTGATTATTTACTGTTTCTGTGCTCTCCCTACTCAGAGGCCCGTGAAAAAGAACACCAGACTGAAAAGGAGTTTAGAATTCCATGCACTGATTCATCAGTTTCAGCATCCAGTGCAAGAGGACCTGGGTCCACATTATCTGAAAGGTACTTAGATGTGGTGGGAGATTCCATGTAGCAGCTTTTTTATCTGAAGAGGATGTTTGCTTGTTTTGGTAACATGAGTGTCTCAGTTTTGGAAGACAGGGAGGGCAGGAGCCGGCCTTTGGAATGAAAATGTAGACCCCCTCCCTCTGAATTATTATAATTTTGAAATCAAGGGCTCTCAGGCTGAGATCTGGAGATAGGAACAACAGTTCTTTACTAGAATGTGTAACAAGGCAAACAAACAACAACGCTGCTCTTGGCCACACCGGAGCTCCGGGCTAGCTCTACGGTGCCACTCCAGCACGGGCAGTCACCAGGAGTGGGGAACTGCAGGGGAAAGGCGATCCCACTGCAGAACCTTCAGAGCACCGAATCCTGCCGGGCTCTGCCAGATCAGGTGTCATGGGTGGTGGCAAAAGGATTATGGAGGAGACTCACTCAGCTGTACTTCCCAGGAACAGGTTTATTCGGGAGAGGGGATGAGCACAAGGGTCTGGGCTGGGAGAATTCAGGACCGAAGAGAGCCCTGAGCACTGGATTTTATCTCAGGGGTGGGCACAGTCCAGGGTCCAATGGGAGCTCACGGAGGGAGGGGTAAGGGGAGAGGTTACAATGTCAGGGATCAATGGGGATACAAAGAAGGCGGGAATACAACATAACAATCAATAACTTATCGAGGAAGGGATGATATACATGGAAGGAGCTGGAAGGAGAGGTGGGGTTTACAGTGATGGATGAGGAGATGGGGCAGGGTAAAGGTGATGGATGGAGAACATTCAGGAAAACTGGGAGGGGTTTGTATAACAGACAACTGGGGCTAAAGCAATACAATCAACAGGGGAAAAAAGGAACATACCAACAAGTTTTTAACAAATTTTTAACAAAATTAAATAAACGAACTACAACAAATAACTACAGTGTTAGCAAGAAAACAGAACCAGGGACCCTGTGACAGCTTTCTCAGCTGAGATGGGAAGGGATGGAGGAGAGGCTTTGTTTCACAAACCCCCTCGGGCAGTCAGTCCCGGTGCTCCTGCAGGGCTCTGAGGAACAGTCGGCTGGAACAGCAGGGATGAGCAGAGATCCCAGGCTGGTGGCTGAGGTGGATCAGCAGAGGGATGAGCAGAGGTCCCGGGGCAGTGGCTGAGGTGGATCAGCAGAGGGATGAGCAGAGATCCCGGGGCAGTGGCTGAGGTGGATCAGCAGAGGGATGAGCAGAGATCCCAGGCTGGTGGCTGAGGTGGATCAGCAGAGGGATGAGCAGAGATCCCAGGCTGGTGGCTGAGGTGGATCAGCAGAGGGATGAGCAGAGATCCCGGGGCGGTGGCTGAGGTGGATCAGCAGAGGGATGAGCTGAGATCCCGGGC